CACTTTCTTTTGGAGCCTCCCAACACCGAGCTAGCTCTGGCATTGTGTACTTTTGTTTCTATAGCTTCTCTTATTTATTTATGTGCTATTATTATCGGTGTCACCGCTCAAGTTTTTCTCTAAAACCTTACTATAGTGTAAAGGTAACCCTGGCTCCTTGAAGGCTATATCAGTATCATCTAAGTTCTGGTGGGTTCTGTTGTTGTTGTTCAACCATTTCACTCTCTGTGACCCCTTTTGGGGTTTTCTTGGCAGAGATACTGGAGTGATTTGCCATTTCCTTCTCCAACTCATGTTACAGATGAGGAGGGTTTAGTGTCTTTCCCACAATCACACATCTAGTTATTGTCTAAAGCCAGATTTGAACTCATCTTCCTGACTCCAGACCCAGCGCTCTTTATCTACTGTGTCACCTAGCTGCTACCAGCCTATTTTTTTTATTATGGGGCCATTAATGGACTATGTCTGTTGATTAAAAGGTAAGCCAGGTAAGTACAGTGAGGCTCGTCCCTATAAGTTTGTTCACCTGGTATAGGAGGTTTCTTTAGTCCTAGCAAGTCATGAAGAACAAGGCGTGAAGGATGAGTTGTCTGCGGTGATGACCACATGGATGAAATAATGGATTTATTGGATACATGTGTCAGTCACTGATAACCTGCATGTTTTTATGAGACCTAGCATAATAATGAAAGATTGTGTCTCAAATTACTTCCCCTTTGTAAGTTTGTTTCCTTGACTGTAAAATGAGTGAGTTGTATCAGATCAGGAGTCCTTAACCTGGGGTCCATAAACCCTTTTTAAAAATATTTTGACAATTTTATTTCAATATAAATTAACTTCCTTTGTAATCCTATTATTTTCTTTTATGCATTTAAAAACATCGTGACTAGGGCATCCATAGGCTTCACCACACTGCCAAAGAGATCCATGATACAAAAATAGTGAAGTACCCTATGATTAAGTGATTGCTAAGATTCTTTCTAGATGCTTCTATGGCTCCTCTATTAGGTAGGTCAAATACGGTATAGAAGATGATGTCATGGCATGTGATCCAAGAACAGCTCTGTCCTGCTCTTTTGGCAGAAAGAATTGCTGAGGATTTTTTTTTTTTTGAGTACTCTCTCCCTGTCAGGCCTCCTGTAATCTGTGTATTTTTTGGAAATAAAAAGACGTGACTTGTCTAAGTGACCTTCTGAACTCTCTTGAATGAACTGAAAGTTTCTTTTGTCAGTTGTTTTCCATGTGGCACAGTACAACCGACACAACTCTCAATCTCATGAAATGTCCTGGGTAGTCATGAGTCAAGGAAAACAAAGACACTCAAAACATGATGTTGGGCTCTTAGAATCAGTTTGCAAGGCACTATTGTTGGTACAATTAGTATTTAAGGCTAAGCTTATGGATAACCTTTTAGGACATTTTTTCAGTTGTGTCTGACTTCTTCATGATCCCTTTTGGGATTTTCTTGGCAAAGAGTGCTTTGCCATTTCCTTCTCCAGCTCATTTGACAGATGAAGAAATGGAGGCAAACAGTGTGAAGTGACTTGCCCAGGGTCACACAGCTAGTAAGTGTTTGAGGCCAGATTTGAACTCAGAAAGGGAAGTCTTTCTGATTCCAAGCCTGGGGCTCTATCCACTGCACCACCTAGCTGCCCCTTTTAGGACACTGGCACTATTTAAAATGCCACAGCAATTCTATGTTTAAAGGAGAGAGGTGACCTGGCACGCTGGATAAAGAGTTGACTTTAGAACCAGGAAGACATGGTGGCTGTAACCCTTTGTAGACCACTTAACCACTTGCAGTGCTTGAGGCAATTCTCTGATATGACGAATTTCAGAAAATGTGCTCAGGTGCTTTGATAAAAAGGAGTTTCCTCATTTGGAGATCCCAGTTAAGTGGCACAGTGGATGTCAACCTGGGCCTGGAGTCAGGGTACAAATCCAGTGTCAAACATTTAGTAACTGTGTGATCTCAGGCAAGTCATTTAACCACTGCCTGCCTCAGTTTCCTCATCTGTAAGATGACAATAATAATAGCACCAACTTCCCAGGGTTGTTGTGAAGATTAAATGAGATAATAATTTCAGCAATTTTTCAGTTCTATCTGACTCTTTGTGACCACAGTTGGGGTTTTCTTGGCAAAGATACTAGAGTGGTTTTGCCACTTCCCTCTCTAGCTGATTTTACAGATGAGGAAAGTGAGGCAAACAGGGTTAAGTGACTTGCCCAGGGTCACACAACTGGTAAGCGTCTGAGGCCAAATTTGAACACAGGAAGAGGAATCTTCCTGACTCCAGGCCTGGCACTCTATGCACTATGGCGCCACCTGGCTGCCCCAAGATGATAATAATAGCAAAGCTTTTTTTGCTTTTTCTGGCATATAATAGTCACTTAATAAAAGCTTGACCCCTTCCCCTCCACTCTGAAATCATAGATTCAGGCAAAAAACAAACAAAATCTCATTTTTCACCTGAGAAAATGTAGAAAAAACATTGAATCTGAAACTTAGGTTAAAATTTCAGTTCTGACTCTTCTGTGTGACTGGACAAGCCATTTCAGCACTTGTGATTTCAGTTTCCCCAAAATGAACTGATTGGTTTAGATAATGGTTAAAGTTCTTTTACATCAAGAAAATTGTATGAGACTTTGTTAGAGTGATAAGAGAGTGGGAATATTTTGTACTTTTAAGGGCTGTAATATACATGCTTACCATAATCATTTGAATGTTTTTAGAATTACGGTTTTCTTTGGTTAAGTATTATAGAGATATAAGCCCCATTGACATTTTAAAATATATTCCCTCTATAGATGCAGAAACATTTAGCCTCACAAGTTCCTTAATTCCCGGTCTTATGTGATAATGATTAATATTCATTACTGTCAATATCAGATAGTTTATAATTATATAAAATCCAAATAAAAAATGAAAGTGTTTAGACAAGATAATTAATAAGTGTAGAACAAAACAGAAACCAAAAGGTCTTGTTGCTAATGTTTATCTACCTTCCCTTTCCTAGATGAGCTAAACTAATGAAACATCTATTTCTTCCTTGTATTCCAATTTTTTAACTCATCCTTTTTTCCTTACTGGGGAAAGCTAACTCCTCCTCAGGACTGAATAATTGCTTCTCTTATTTCTTAATTGTCTTCTTCTCGGCAGATCCCTCTATATGGTCAAAATTATATTATATTAATGTTGTTGTATTATATTACATTACATTAGTGTATATAGTCTTGAGATATACTTAGATTAGCTTCCATCTTCAAATCACCTGTAAACTCAGATTACAAATACATAGCAACCCTTGTAGAAAGGGAATGTGATATAGTAGATAGAGAAATAAGGAAATCTGTCTTCTAGACCTTACTGCAAGTAGCTCTATGTGTGTGACCACGAGAAAGTCACTTAACTTCCTACATTAAGTCTCAACTTCCTCATCTATACCATACTGAGGGTTAAACTAGATTACAGGATCATAGCTGCAGAGCTGAAAGGGACCTGAGTCACCATCTAGTCTAATCCCCTCATTTTACAAAAGAGGAAACTGAAGACCAGAAAGGTTTCATGATCTGCTGAAAGGTAAACAGGTAGTGTCATAAGTGGGATTTAAACATAGATGCTCTACCTCCAGAGGCAGTGCTTTGTCCATTAGGTTCCTCCTTGGTCTAAAATTCAATGATTCTACTGCATCAGTTCACATAACTATCACTACAACAAATTTATAGTACTCAGAATCACAGATTTAAAGCTATAAATAAGCTTAATCAAATCTTATCCTTTTTGTAAGCACGAAAAAAGCTAGGAAAATTCACATAATAATAGATTTCTAAGTGATGTTTTCATTTTAGGGTACTAGAACAAATGACTAATATTCTGGGATGATCAAGTCTTTTGCAGTTAAAAGTAATAACTGAAAATTATGAGAACATACTTTTTTTACTGGAGACAAGCAGAACTTTTCTCTCTAAGGAAGGGAGGAAATTGAAGGGCCAAAGAATGAATTCATGAGGACAACATAGGGAGAAAGAGTAGTAATTATGAAAGGAACTGTTCAATGGGAAAGAAAAGGTGACCTCAAGCTATGGGAAATCCTCTAATGAAGCCTTCTGTGATTGCTTCTCCAAAATACTTTTAATCTAATATTGCAGTTCATTGTTCATGGCCTGACATCTGTGCCATATGCATTTAACATAAACTCTGTTTTTTGTATGTACAATATTTGTAAGCCATCAAAACTATAAACCAAGAAATATAAAATGAACCAAAATTTTATCTGATAAATGCAGGTGTTGATTATTTTATTTTGCATTGTTTTCTAAAAAGGAATTACTTTAAAAAGCACTAATTTTCTTAAAAAGACTTATTTTCTTTTCACTAACAACATTAAATTGTTTACATATTTTAGTGTAGTGGGAGAAAATTTTAGTTTTTTAATCAGATGGAGTCTGCTCCCAATCCTGACACTTACTAGCTCTGTGACTATGAACAAGTCATTTTAACTTCTTTCAGCCTCAGTTTCTCATCTGGAATCATTTTTACATCTACTATCTAACAAGGTCATGTGACAAAAGCATTTTATAACCAATAAAGCACTTTTACAATCATAAGTTATCATTGCTATGATAACCTAAAAATTAGTCCAATTGTAGTCAGCTTTCTAGTCATAAACTGATCTAGCATACCAGTCCTCAGCAGACAATGAGTCTATTGCTAGGTGAGTGACAGCAGACAAATAGTCCATCTAGTGCTTAACATGCTTTCTGGCACATAGTGGGCCCTTAATAATTGTTTATTGATGGGCTGGGCATGTGCCTTTCTAGATTTGTAGGTCTGACTAGAACTTGTACAAAAGCTTCTAGAACTTTTAGAATTTGAGTTAAGTTCAATTCCACAGTGAGGCCCTGGATTAGGACATCAACAGATGATATAATTAGTATAATTATTCTAAGTAAATAATACAGCTCTTGTCTCATCTCCTACTTTTCTTTTTTTTCCCTAGGTAATTCCACTTATTTGGATGACCATGGACCATTCCCTAGCAAGGTAATGTGTTTATAGAGAGTATGAAAATCTCTCCTTGTTATTTGGTTTATGGATGCATAAACATGTATTCATCATCTCAGGAAATGTCATTTTCAGAACTTTCATAAAACAGATCAGTCACACGGATAATGGAAAACAAAGGCATCCTTTTCAAGCTGAAGCAAATCAGTGTAAATATTTTCCCTTTCTATACTTTTTCATAGAACAAAAATTTGGAGTAGAAAATTATTCCCCTAATTGTCTCTTTTATTTGTTGTAATTTTTTGGAACATCAAAAATTTTCTGGCAATCATAATAATAAATTGGGAAGGTGGGGTTTTTAAGTTGTATATTGGTATTTTTGAACTGCTTGGGCATATTTTATAGCTTCTTATAAGTCAACTTCTAATCTCACTGCTTATTTTCAATTTATAGGGCTCTGCTTTTGTTTTACCTTTGTATTGAACCAGGGTATAATTCCATTTATTTATTCAGTATGCCAGAATTAATATTTTGTACCAGATCAATATCATGGTCATTCTTCCCTCTAAATTTTTAAAAGGTGTAAATTGATGTCTGTACTATATGAGCAACAAACTATGGAGACCAATGTATATGAGCCGTTCAGTGCTGGAATTCAATTCAACAAAAATCATTAAGTACACGTTCTGTGAAGGGCACTATGAAAAGAGCTGGAGGAGGTACAAGATAATAGGTCTCTGTCAGAGTCCCACAATTTCTAACAGTAACATATCAGAGAATATAGGAGGATTTAGAAGGTATTTTTTAAAGCTGACTTTATGAGAAAATCAACATTGCCCAACCCTTTGGTGTTTTCATTGCATAAGGCTGCAAGGAGCACATAGCACATATAAATGCACAAGACTTTCCCCAGGGATACACAAAACACATTGGAACATAAACATAGATGTACAGGAAAGGTCACCCAGGTAACCAGACACCTGATAACTGCACTGCTCTGCCACAATCAAGTCTTACCTGTTTTGTGTTTTCTCTCTCTCTCTCTCTCTCTCTTTCTCTCTCTCTCTCACTCTCACTTTCGCTCTCTCTCCTGTCAACACACTTTTTTCAATTAATTTATTTTTTTAAGTTTTAAACATTCACTTTTATAAAATTTTAAGTTTCAAATTTTTTTTCTCCCTTCCTCCCCAAGACAGCAAGCAATCTGATATAGGCTATTCATGTACAATCATAATTAAGCATATTTCCACATTAGTCATGTTGTGAAAGAAGAATCAGAACAAAAAGGGAAAAATCACGAGAAAGAAAAAAAAACAAAAAAAAGAAAATAGTAGGCTTTGATCTGCATTCAGACTCTATAGTTCTTTCTCTGGATGTGTATAACATTTTCTACCCTAATTTTTTTTGGAATTGTCTTAGATCATTGTATTACTGTGAAAAGCCAAGTCTATCAAAGTTGATCATCACACAGAGTCACACAGCCATCACATTGTCATAGGCCAGAATTGAAACCAGGTCTTCTTTGTTCTAAGATCAGCTTTCTATCTATTACATCACTGCTTTTCTAGAAGTAAAATTAAATCAATTTAGGAAGATTGGCTCAGATATTTGGGCCCTCCTTGCTTTGATATACTACCTATAGGCAACCTTAGAATCCGAATGGAATGAATGCTCTCATTTAGGTTACTAGCAGCACTGTTGCCTCTCCATTTCTAGATAGTAATTGCTAGGTAATAATAAAATAACAATAATGATATTTATATAGTGCTTTAAACTTTACAAAGAACTCAGATCTTCCATTGTAGTAAGGTTATGATTGATGCAAAATAATTCAAGTATATGAAGTATATCTGTATATGTGCATGTATATTTGCATGAAATAATTATATGAGGAGTATAAGCATATATATTAAGTATATGAAAAGTGGACTATGATGCTATAGCAGTGGAAACAGAAGAGAAATGAGGGAGGGATGTAATGGATGCAATCAACAGAACTTAGGAACTGATGGGATATTTTAGAAGTGTGAGAGAGGGTAGAGTAAAACGTAAAAACATTTTCAGACATAGACAAGATGAATGGTGGTGATGGTAACAGCAGTGATAGTGAAGTCAGAATGAGAGGCAAGTTTGGAGAGAAAGGTTTGCTTTTGGATAGATTGAGTATGAAGTGTTGGTAGGCCATTCAGGTGGAGATGTCCTATAGTCCATTGGAAATGTGAGTCTAGGGTTAAACATTTGATCTGCACTGGAGTTAAGAGATTAGGAATCATTTATGGAGACTGTGATCAAAGTCAAGGCAATGAGAGTGTCAATATAGGAAATGTACAAGGAGGATAGGAGAGATATAAGAACAGGACATTGAGGAACACCCACTTTCAGAGTTAGAATGGGGACTGAGAAAATACCTTGAATTTGGCAGTAAGAAAGTCATCAGTGAGCTTTGAGTGAACATTTTTAGTGGAGTACTGAGGATGCAAGGATTTGAGAAAAGAGGAGAAGATGAAGGAAAAAAAACTTCAAGAATAGGCCTCTTTTCCCACAAATTTGACTGTGAAGGGGAGAAAAGGAAGACAAGACCACTGGAAGAGGGAGTAGAATATTCAAGGGAATGCTTAATTAGGATTAAGAAGGTGTGAACAGGTCTAGAAGCATGTGGGAAGAATCTAGGGAAGAAGGAAAGATTTAAGAGGCAAGACAGAAAGTAGATGAATGCTGAAACAAGGTCTTGGAGGAAGCAGAAAGTGGTATTACTGTTACTACAACAATCAGTGATGATGATGATGATGATGATGATTATGATAACAGCAATCATCTCTATAGTACTTTAAGATTTACAAACTGTTTTGCATGTTATTTCAGTTGATCCTAACAATAACCCTGTGAGGTGGTGGCTCTTTTTATCCTCATTTTACTAATGAAGAAACCAAGGCTGAGAAAGGTTAAATGACTTGCCCAGGGTCATATAATTAGTAAGACCCTGAATCAAGATTTATGTGCATATCTCCTTGACTTCCAGTCCACTCCTCTATCCACTATGCCACAGAGAAACTGGTTTTAGAGAGGGATGAGGATAATTCTTTTTCTGAAGCAGAAGGAAAGAAGAAAGAATATATGAGGATACTGGAAAGTTTTAAGGAGTGAATGTAGGGAATTGAAGGCAGGCCCATCAGATGTTTTAGGAGGCTAAGTCTTTAGAAGCAAGTGAATTTTATAGGCTGTGAATGTGAGCTTTGCAACAGTGTTTGTGAGGAATGAGATTAGGAGTCAAGCAGCATTGAGGACCTAATGGAGGTCACAGAAAAAAAAAACTATGGACCCTACATGGAATTCAAACAGAAAATTTTAAATAATCCTTGAACAAGTTTACATTTTAGTAGAGAGGTAGATATACACATAAGTATTCCTAATAATAGCTATAATATGAAAATGTAATATATAAATATTGCTATTTATTCAAAGAAATTTATAATAAATTTATCTCAATGCACCTGCAAGAATGTGCACAGTAGGGGGCAGCTAGGTGGCACAGTGGATAGAGCACCAGCCCTGAAGTCAGGAGAACCTGAGTTCAAATCCAGCCTCAGACCAAACACTTGACACTTACTAGATATGTGACCCTGGGCAAGTCACTTAACCCCAATTGCCAAAAAAAAGAAAAAAGAAAAGAATACTGTGCTATAGGGCAATTAGAAAGGAATAGTGAGCTATTCATACAAATTCATGCAAATGGTATTACTTTGACATAAATGAGACTTCCATTTTCTCTTTCTTTTGTTAGCTCTACAATATCTATATACAATGCCAAGGTTAACAGTTTTCCTTTATTCTGCTTCTCACAAATAGATATTCTATCTTTAAAAGACAAAGGACCTATACTTAAATCTCCAACCACATTACATCTATGCTTTGGGTGGTAGGAGAGCTAGGCAATGATATTCTAGACAGGAGAAGGCATGGCTAGAATGAATTCTTGTTAAGTTATATCTGGGAGTGAGAAGGAGGTGAGGCTAGTTGAGAAGAGAAAGGGAATAGCCACTAGGAAAATGCTCTTCTGGGTATTCCAGGTCCTTGGACTATAGCTAAAATAATCTCACAATCCAGAATGCTGGAAATATACTCTATAACGAGATCCTAGGACTCCAGTCTTTCAAGCTAGCTCAGAATCAGCTCTGAAACTAATTTACGCTAAAACATAAGTAGTCTTTGATGTATAGGGAGAACTTGGGAAAGGAAACCATGACAGCACTGAACACCTGGAAAAAGAGGATGGAGAAGGGAAGGAATAATTTAAGTTTTTAGTAGTACAGTCATATAATTATATACTTTTCTTGTCTCCAACTTCACTACTACCATTTTCCAGTTGATAAATCACCTGACGTGAAGCATGTCAGTTGTGCTAGACATGTGCTTTCTCAGCCTCCTTAACCCTCAATACCATGGCTGCTAAGCAAAAGTAGAAACAGGTATAAAAAACATTAGCCAGGGAATCCCCAGATAAGGAACTCCCTCTACCAATTCAAGTCAGCACCTTCACCACGACTTAATAAAGTCTTAGAGCATTGTCTATAACATTGAGAGGCTACATGATTTAGCCAGGGTCACATAGCCAGTATATGTTAGGTATCATACTTGAAACCAATTCTTCCTGGCTTGTAAGCCAATTCTCTATGCACCCATGTCTAGGTGCATGTTGAGCAGGTGTGTCTATAGGTATATAAAAGATATGAACAAAATAAGTAGAAGGGAATTGGGTGGGGAAGGTACAAGTATCTGAGGGGATCAGGAAAAAGAGGTATGGTTGGTAGTGTAATTTCTAAAAGAAAAAGAAAGTTGGGCGTATCTAATGTTTGTAGTATCTGTAAGTAAGAAAATCAACACTACTCCGTCTGCGGTATGTGATACTTGGCTTCAGTTTCTCCCCAAAATAGAATTTTGACTTATGATGACTTTAAGAATGGAATTAAGGAGCCAAAATAGAGGAGTACTTGAGTTCATAATGATGATGGATACTGACAAAAATATTCTGACAAAAATTT